GGAGGAGCACGTTTATTCTCGCTGCACTCGCAAAGCGCCCGCGGCGGCCAAAGCCGCTCGGCGTCCGGTGGGCACTGAGCCCTGAGGAGCACCCTGAGCTCGAGCTGGAGCCGCTGTCCCTGCGCTGCCACGCCAGGGCCATCTGAGGCGGCCAGGCGGCCTCTCGCCACCTCACTCGTGCTCCAGGGATGCATGGCAGGCAGCCGTGACCATGGCCACAAAAGCCACAAACTCCTGGAAGTCACACTCGGCATCCCCATCGCTGTCGAGCGCTTCCATGACTTTGTCCACTGTCTCCTGGTCATGGATTTCCTGGAGGCAGAAGAATAGGCTGCTGGGCCGGGAGGCAGGACAGTGCCCCTGTACAGGGAGGCGATGCCCCTCGCAACCAGCTCCGGCCTGTCCTCCCAGCCCGGGGGCGAGCGAAGGCAGTCAAGCCCGGCCCCACGGCATGCCGTACTCACACCAAGGAAGTGGGGGAGCTCGTGGTTGAGGAGCTCCTTCAGCTCAGCTTTCTTCAGCTTGTGCTCATCGCCCTCCTTCCCTGCATACCGGTGGAAAGCATCCATGATGGCCACCATGGCTTTCTCCAGCTCCGACATGGCGGTGGTGTGGCCCTGGGCCAGGAGGGAGGTGGTGGATGCTTCAGCCCAGGCTGCAGGAGAAAACCAGCCCTGGCCTGCAAATCTAGTCCCCCCACACTGGCTCCACAGCCCCTCACAGCAGTACCAGCCACTGCCTTGACCTCCCCGGCCCGTCTCACTCACCTCCCTGCCAGTGGCCGAGCTGAGATGACGACGCGGCCCCAGGGCAGCCGTGGGCTTCTTATGACGGGGGCGGAGAGCCGGGGCCCCAGGCAGTGTCACAGCGCCAATGGCAGCCTGAGGCGGAGGCGCTTGGAGCCAGGCACCGGGCCCAGGCTGTGCCCGGCAGGCAGGGCCGTCCCTGCCTCTAGCTCTGCCCGGAGCAGGGGTGACCCGAAGTGCAGGGGCTGGATGCGTGTGGACAGGACGCAGCCCAGGTCCCAGGGCTGCACCACTCTGGTGGTTTTCTGATACATGTTGGGGATTTGCCCTGCCATGGCTTGTGCCTGTGGCTGTTTACCCTTTTGCTGTGCATCCCCCTCAGGCATAGGGCTGGCTGCATCTTCCCTCAAACTCCTTTTTAGTCTGGGGGGGCAGACAGTAGGTTCCCCATGCTGGCCTAGCACCCAGCAGGTGGTCATACCCCATGGGAAGCAGCGCTCAAATGTTTCCCCACGAGCTACAGGAACCATACAGCAACGGTGTCATTAAGCCATACATCAACTCGAGTCATTAAAACCAGCAGAAAGAGACTGCTGAGGCCAGAGCAGCTCTTTGCATACACTGCAGTAGCCCCTCTGGATGCATATCCAGCCTCATGACCCCAAAATTGTTATTGGCTCCTCTGCTCTGTTGAGGCTGGGCAGGGGGGATGGCCAAGTGGACCAGAGATGGGGTGGAAAAGAGAGGAGGTAACAGCACAGCTTCCAACCTCAGTGAGAAGAGAAGTTGGGAGGGAGCTGTCAGCAGTCCCATCCCCTCGGCGTGTCAGTGGCTTGCACGGGTAAGAGGGGAGGGCAGGGGCTACAGCAGCCCCACATCTGTGCGTCCCGGCTGCGTCATCATGTCTGTGTGGGAAGTGTAGCTCAGAAGTCCTTTCTGCCAGCCACAGAAACCATTTGGCCTAAGCAGAGAGGTTAAATGGACTTTTATTGAAAAGGAAAAGCTGAAAGCCTCAGTTTCTGGCAGAGATTCTTACAAGGTT